CTTGGTCCCAGCCCAAAGGAAGCAGTCCATCATTTTCTGGTAGAAAATCATGACATCAGACATGAAGACACCCTCATCCCAGCTGCTCGGCTGCAAACCACCCCAGTGTGTGCTGAAAATCTCATTCTGGCGAGGCCAACAAAATCTACATCATCTGCAAATAGCAGGGAGGGAATTCCAAGGCTTCCAAACCAGATATGCTCCTCACCTTGGCTGTGCCTTGAAATCCTGTCCATGAAAATCACAAAGACGATTGGTGACAAGGGACAACCCTGGTGGAGGGCAACACCCACCAGGAACGTGTATATCTTCCCGCCAAGAATATGGACACAACTCACACTTATACAGGGTTATACAGGGACCAGATGGCTCATAGTAACAGCGTTCCCACAGTATCCCTACAAGATCCATAGGTCTTCTTCAAGTCCACGTAGCACATTTATACTGGATGGGCAAACTCCCATGACCCCTCAAGTAGCCTTGTAAGAACAAAGAATTGGTTCACAGATCCATGGCCAGCATGGAATCCATATTGCTCCTTCTGAATCTGAGGTTCAACAATTGGTCAGAGCCTCCATTCCAGCACCTTTCCCCAAGAGGCTGAGCAGTGTGATACCCTAATAATTTGAGCAGATCCTCCAAACCCTTTTTTTAAAATGAGAACCACCAACTTGGTCTGCCAGTCCACAGACACTTTCCCGAACCTCCATGCGACATTGAAGAAGCGTTTCAACCAAGAGAGCCCTACAATGTCCAGAGTCTTCAGCATCTCATGACAGATCTCATCCACTCATGGTGCTTTGGAGCTGGGGAGATTCTTGACTACCTCAGTGACCTCAGCCAAGGATATGGGCAAGGCTTCCACCAAGTCTTCAGACTGTGCCTCTTCCTCAGAGGACATGTTAGTTGGGTTCAGGAGTTCCTCAAAGTGTTCCTTCAACCAGCTAATGACATCCCAAGCCCGAGTCAGCAGATCTCCATCCCTGCTGAAAACAGCCCTGCTTCCCCTTCCTGAGATGCTAGATGGTTTGCCAGATTGAGGCCAACCAGAAGTCCTTCACTAGTTTTTCATAAAAAAATGCATGTTAAAACTTTTTTTAATGTACTTTGGAAAGACCTACATATAAAATACAAGAGTTTTACATGACAAATTTTATTTTACATTTTGAAATTTTTTCTTTTTATGGAGTGATGTTGATAAATTAACACGAGACACCTCTTCTGTTCATCCACTGTGACATTAGGGCCTGGGTTATAGAGTAGTGGAAGTTGCTCCACCCACTTGTCCCACAGTGTCCTGATAGCTGCCAGCTTGTCTCTCTCCCGACTGACAGCCCTCCAGAGACATTGTGGCATGAAATATAGCCCTGCCTGTCTCTGCATCCCACAGACTGGCTGTTGAATCATCCTTTGACTTATAGACCCCAGCCAGGATGAGGACCCCCAAATATGCATGTAAATGCATTTTATCCTGCTCCTTCCACTTCTCCCACAAAACACGCCTTCCTTCTAGATTAGTCATTTCGAGAATGATTTCCTTATTGAGTTGGGCATGACCAGCTCAAAAGCTGACTTAATGTTTGTCACACAAGTCACTGCCATCCTAGTGTGCCCTGGCACTGTCTTTATTATGTTTTCTGCAGACAGTTTTGCCTGACGTATATTTGGGGATTAAGACCACTGTATTTCACCATTTTTTGATGTGAATATCTTGCTTGGAGGAATATGAATAGCAGTTTCCTCATTTGGTTCATAATCAGAATCATCAGACTCAGAATTGACCTCAAGATGGTCTTCATCTTCAGACACATCCTCCTCTATTTCACTGTCATGATCAAAGATGAGTTCCAGAGCCTCCAGGGTTGTCACCTGTTTACTTCTGCTGCTCATTTTGTAAAGCTCTGACAGAGAGCATATCATATGTAGCTGCAGAGTGTAATGTTGGTAGGACTCCTTTGCAGAGAATCTTTATATGTTTTGCCCTCCCCTGCTGAGTGTCCACTCAATGTGGGTGGAGTTTGTCCACAGGAAAAGAAAAGGTTCCCGTCAAAAGTCATAACAACACCTGCATTCTCGCACTTTATAGATGAGGTCAAGAGAATAGGGAGAGGGTGTGTGTGTGTGTGTGTGTGTGTGTGTGTGTGTGTGTGTGTGTGTGTGTGTGTGTGTGTGTGTGATTGGGGTGAAATATGTCTCACAGTTGCAAAGAAACAAATAGGCTTTGACACTTCTGACCCCTTTTACCCTCCACTTTGACGGGGGGGGGGGGGGCATTTATGTGCCCTGTGTTTTTATGTTTTTATACACGCCACTGCTGTATATCCAATAACCCCACTGGGGACAAATAAAGTCATTGATTGATTTGACCTTGACCAACATGATAAATCATAAATGCAGCTGAGTCCAAGCAAACAGAAACCAAACTAGATAAACTACCAAAGATAAAGTTAGAGTCATGTAGACCAGGATATGGACAACCAGGTTTTTCTGTTACGCATAGACATCAAATCCTGAATATGGAAAAAAAAAAGTGTTGTTAACATTTCTTCATTGAAGCAAATCATCCATCTCATGGTGCACTTAAAATTAACTGAAACCAGTGACTGGAAGAATAGAAATTTGGTCCAAATACTGAATATGCTTTGGAAAATGGTTGTAAATAATGTAAAGTGTAAATGATGTGCATATGATAAAACATGCAAAAGTACAATATGGTCCTTTAAGTTGACTTGAACTCCTCCATCTATCCGTTCCTCCAAGCTTATCGCTCGCTCTCTTCATTCTCATGAATCTTTCTCTTTGCTTATCTGCCCCTCTGTTCCAATAAATCACTGCCTGGTTGGTCATTATTGGGGAAAAACTCTTTACCGTTTTTCCTTTGCTCTCTTTTCATCCCTCCATTCACACTGAAAGAGTCGGGAGCATCAATCGCACCGCTGAGCTCATTCCAATTTAATTGAGACGTCCATGTTAAGATGGACATGAATATTACATTCCACAGGCCCTATTAATATGCTAAGGCCAGTTTAAATGTTTTAATATTTGCTGTGTGAATTATTGAAACTGTTTTCATAGGCAGCATCGGATCATTCGTCAGAAATGTTTAGTCTCTGATGTTCAGGAAGTGATGGAATTCTAATCGGGTGCACTCCGGCTGAAGTACGCAGTAATTTCCCATGGTACACTGCTACATGCACTTGACCACCCCTCCCTCCCCTGGCAAACTCAGGGTCACCATTTTTAGCTTTCTTAATTAGAGAGAGAGAAGAAGAAAAGGAAGGAGAGTGTGTGACAGGTATTTCCTCCTATCTTCGGGCCTGTCTTTCTGCCTCCCCATCTGCCTCTGAAGTCCCCAAGCATGTCACATACACATGCACACACACACACACTCTGGAAATTATTCTAAAAAATACTCATCTGATGTTCCACTGAGCACAGACGCATCGGGCACTGGCCATGGCGATAAAGTTGGCGTTTCAAGTGACTGCACTCTGCAATTTAAAAAAAGCCGGCTTCACGGCAACAGACGTCGTCGTCTGCAGTTGCACACACACACACAAATGTGTGTGGTGTGTTGGAGAGGAAGATGGATCGGAGTACAGATTGTAAGTGACATGTTAATTTCTTCTCCGTCACTCAACTCACAGCCAAGGCGTCCGCTATCACAGTAAAGGGACACAAGGCCCAGCCGTCAAGGCTCCTCTCCTTCCTCCTCTCCTTCTTCCCTCCGCTTCCTCTGCCCCGGGTAGTCGTTCATACGTCCCCTGGGTAGCTGTGCATGTTTAGACACAGAAAGAAAAGGAGCTGACAGCTGTTGGTATGGGGCAGCAAAAAGAGAGTGAGAGGTCACACTGGATTTATGATCTTTGCTCTCTGTCTTATGGTGGAAATTACTTCACTTAAGAGTCAACACTTCGGAAATAACTAACAAAACACTAACACAAAATAAAATGTATGTATGTATAGGAGAGAAAACATTACAGGAGTCAGAAAGTATACAGCTCTGTATCAGTTTACAGATTTATAATATTCACACAAATAAGAAATAAAATAAAATGTTTTTCTCTATTTGGTGAAGCAACATAAAAAGACATAACATAACGTAACATAACATAATGTAACGTAATGTAACATAACATGACATAAGGTTCCATGACGTAACGTATCATGATGTAACGTAACATGATGTGACTTTAATATAATGTCACGAAATGTAACGTAACATGATGGCATACATGTTATTGCTATAGATTTAATAATAGACATATATATTTTCATTTATTGAGAGGCAGAGTGAAATAAAGAGACAAAAAAATATAGAAAATAAATAGATAATAAGGTGTTGCTTTTTTTCCCCGTTTCCTCTCCCTCAGGCAGAAAACAGGTGATTCGGGGTAGATGGGGGTAGATGGGGGTAGATGGGAGGGTGGGGGGAATTTTGACCATCCATCGGTGGGAGAAGCATGCAGCAAAACACACAGCTGCTCCCGTGTCACTTTCATAAGACAAACTACCAAAGAGTCAGCATCAACATCAAACATCAGTCAATAAGCCAGATATTTGTGGGAGCCCCTCTCCAGGGCCACGCTGAGTGTGTATGTATTTAAGAATAACACAATTACAGAGAAACATACACACACAGAGGAGCTTACACAGTAAATCAATGAGAAACATTCATGTTACTGTGTTTATGTTAATGTTTTTTCATCATGTTTTCTCACTGTTACACGCCTGAGTGGAAAGTGTGTTAGTTCTGTTTCCCTAAACTCCTCATTTTAATGACCTGTATCATTAATGTAAAGGTCAAAGGTTGTGTAAAGGTCAGGACACGGCACAGTGAACGGTATGACACCTGACCACATCTGACACTGTATATTAACCAAATTATTTGTGTTTCTTTGTGTGTGTGTGTGTGTGTGTGTGTGTGTGTGTGTGTGTGTGTGTGTGTGTGTGTGTGTGTGTGTGTGTGTGTGCGTGTGTGCGTGTGTGTGTGTCTGCAGGCAGCCCTGGTATTATGGTTGGGGTTTCAACCTACCGCGGGGTCAGGCTCTTCTGGACAAGTGGAACCAGGTCCCTGACAACACAGACATCCTGGTCACACACTGCCCCCCACTGGGTGAGACACACATTACAGCACACACAGACACAAACACACACACACACACACCCACACACACACACACACACACACACACACACACACACAGTGCATTCAGAAAGTATTCAGACCCCTTCAGTCTTTTCACATTCATGTTTTCCCTCATCACACTAAACTGAATTCCACATAATGACAAACAGCATTTAAGAATTTTAGAATTTATTTTAAAGTAAAAACTGAAATATCACATTAACACTTTGACTTGACTCTTGAAGTTTAGCTCAGGTACAAGGCTACATTTCCCCTGATTCTCTGTGAGATGTTTCTAGACCTTGACTGGAGTCCACCTGTGGTAAAATCAGCTTATTGATACATTAGAAATCTGTAAACTTTATCAATTTTTCAAAATGCACTAATGCAACAAAAATAAAAAAATAAATGAACTAAAACCCAAGGATTTGATTGAAATTCACACTTTAGTTGACTGAGACAGAAACACTAAAGTTTTTTTTTTCTTATCAATCCATATAATCAATCATATAATCAATTCATAAAAAACTTGAAAATAAGCAGCAGATATGATGATAAATAATAATAGGTGTGGTCTACTTCCCGTTGTAGATTAAATTAGTTATTATTTAATGACTTCAGTTTTGTCTCGTCAACATCTTGTCTTGTACGTATAGCGTGGCACACTTTGTTTTCTCTAAAGACTGTAGATCGTGAATCAGAACAACTAATATAGTTAATCAGTATAAAATATCAATATGATGAGAATGAAAGTTAAACTTGGAAGATCCTGACAACAGGAACTGATTTGAAACAATTCCAGTTACTGCTCACTGACCTCTCAGCTGAACTTTGGCGAAGTCCCGACACCAACAATCAGACAGCAGATAAAGTTTAACTCTGGCCTTTTGGTTTGTACCTTATGTCTTTAATATCAGTTAGCTACAGCTGAAGGTTTTTAAAGATAACAATTACAGCACCACTCACCTGAATGTTTTACATGAGTGTGATAATGTGATAGTACTCTGACAAATACCCATGTCCCTCTTGCTGTCTGATTGATACAACAATACACCTGTAGTCAGAAATATGAAGAGGTGATTCACTGCACAGTTTTTAACATTCATTCACTCTGGGGTTGAGAGAGGATGTCAACTCATTTAAAGTCTAATGTTTACCACACACTAAGACTCTGAAAACACTAAATTCTGACATCCGCTCACATCTAAAGACAATGAGTCATCAGTCATAGAGTTTTAGCCTTACACTATAAGATTTTGTAAAGACTGGGGATCTTACAGATCTTATTATTATTATTATCATTATCACTTTGTATTTATGATTTCCTGTTTTATTTTGCTCCTCCTTTACTTTCACTCACCAACACTGGAAAGTGGAAAGTTTTTTGGTGTGAGGCCGACATAAGTGGAGTCATGAGTCAGTTCAGCTGAGGAAGTCCAGCAGCAAGTCTCTGATTTTGTCAAGAAGCCAAAGTCATCAGAGTTCAAGTCTTGTGACCTGAGATGATTCCACACCTCTGTGAATAGGGAACATTGCAGTGACATCGCTCCACATGTTTTTTTGTTTTTTTTTAAATCGAATGTAAATTCCCCAGAGGACATGACCACCGTGTCCTCAACAGTAGTCAACAAGTATGTCAACACACACACTCACACATACAGTATGTATTGTACATGCACCATACAGATACATGCATATCTACCTACTGTACACACTGTCTGTGGATGGTGAATGAGAGACAGCAGTGAAATGACTCTAATAAATTTCGGATGAATCATCCTCGTGTTGAATGGATGAGTAAAAGGTGAAGGTGATCAAAGCAGTGACTCACAGTCCAGTCAGCTCATCCCGTCCCCCTCCCCCCACCATTAGCCCTCTCAGTGATCACCTCTCAGCTGCTGCATGCTTTCATCCTCACACACACCAACATCACAAGAGTCTGAACAAACACAGATGCTGGCGTACAAGCTGACTGACATCCTGGACACACTTCTCTGTCTCGACCACTTACACACAAGCAGACAGAGACACACACACACACACACACACACTTTCACACCTCATCTCCCGCTGCAGCTGTGGTGTTCAGATGAGTGTGTGTGATTGATTTCTGTGTCTGCGTCTCGGCTCCGAACACAGCCATTTATTTTCCATTCAGCTTAGCCAAGTGTCTCCATCTATCTGCTTGTAAGCCACCGGCATATGGAGCAGCTACAGCAGGCTACTAATGCATGAGACGTGCGCACACACACACACACACACACACACACACACACACACACACACACACACACACACACACACTCACACATACATGCAAAGACTCAGTGCAAGACTGATGCGAATGGTACGAGAGAGACAGAAAGAAGGAGAAAGGCAAAAAGGAATGGAGGACAATAAAGCTACAGGAGACAAGAAAAGACATCCATTTTAAATATATCTTTGAAAAAGGAGAAACGAAAGATGCACAAGAAGGTGAAGGAAAAATAAGTGTGATCAAGATGTTTCGCACTGCAGCAAACGTCTTTTATGAGGCGCGATAAAGCAGCAAATCGGTGGCTAGAGAGGAAAAATATGGCCTCTTTATCTGGCTGTGAGAAAGAAGTTAACAGCAGAGAGAGAAAGAGAGAAAGTGAGACAAAATGAGTGAAACAGGCTCAGTGCCCAAAGCAGCAGCTGCTTTGAAACAAGTGGCACTTTAGAGCAAACTACCCTGAGACACAAAAAGCCCTCGTAACTTCTCACTTCACTTCAACCATCTCCCAAGGCTTGTAAAAGAACGCACTTACAGTTTTAAGGCATTATATACCTGAACTGATACGTAAAGTGTGTTTTTACAGGTAGACACATTCAGAGGACAAAGGAGTCAGACATTTTACTGGCATGACTGATTCACTGCCAGCTGAGAACATGGAAGTTTTTATGTCTGTGTTATGTATGAGAAGGTCCATTAACTCTGAGATTTTTAGCACTCTGGTAATAAAAAATAAAAAACTGTAAAGAATCTTAAAGTCATCCCTGAAGAGGTTTCTCTCTTTCCCTTTCTTTTTGCCCCTGAAGATCAGCTGGAAGACAACAAATCATAAGACTGACTTTTCTTCACTGTGGGCATATCCAATATGCCCTTTAGGGCTGGAGATTTTACATGGACTAGCCCTTGAAGTAGCAATCTTGAAGATTTTCATTTAAATAAATGTCTGGTAAGTCACTGTCTGTTACCAAATGAGGTAACACAATGGTGACTAAGCCTATGACCCACAGACGAAAGTATTGCAATATTTATATAGCTGTTTGTATATTATGAACAGGGTGTCTGAAGCCAGTGGTGGGTGATCCAAACCGACAGCAGAATGCAGACCTATGTCGTGCGCAGCATAAAATCAGATCACGGTTCCTCAGAGTAAGGTGGAATACCTTACTTACCTTACCTTTTTTACAACAACAATAGTTTGTTTTGCTGCCCTCTTACAACCAGTAACTATAGCAGTCAACCAGGACTGAAATCTTTAAGATGGAATTGAGACTTGAGACTTGGCTTGGACTAGTCATTTAAGACTTGAGATTTGACTTGGACTACCTAAAGACATGACTTGGACACTTTAAGACTTGAGACTTTAGTCTTGTTTCACTTTCTTTCCCTTTTTGATTATTTGTGCTTGTGTTAAATTCGCTTTCTTTTTCTCTCTTCCTGTGTTTACTTTCTTACTCCTGCCTGGGCTGAGCGACAGCAGGCGGGGAAGATGGAGACATGAGCTCCTCAGTCATTTTATTTCTCATAGTTGATGCTTTTATTGACTCAGCATCAGTGGCATCCCTCCTCCACAGAGTAGCCACTAAATCATATACAGTCCCCGCTTCATCCTTGTCACACACACTGTGAAGTCTGCATCTGTGTGTGGCTGTGATGGATCTTTATTTTCCACGGCTGCTTTCTAAGAGTCTCTTTTATTTTGTGCTGCAATGTGCAGTTTGCCATTAGACAAGGAATCTGAAATGAAGAGCTTCACCCTAAAATGTGATATATCACTTTTTGAAGGGAGATGATATTTATAACATTCCTGAAGATACTTTCATCCAATCACCACAGCACCATCAAAAATCACACCAACACCCATTAAATGCATTATTGATATGATCAAAACATTATTGCTTTCAGTAATGATAAAATGAAAAAAGGATAAAAGGAAACAGGTCATTGTTATTTTTTCATGACAAATATTATAACACATTTATTCCAGTGGAAAGCTTCTGTTTCACCACCTCGTTGTGTCATTGTTGGGCCTCAGTTCTTCATGTGACCTGCTGCTGTTTGCCACCTCAGGAAGAAGCTTGATTGTCATGTGACTGTGTGCAGGTTTCCTGGACTGGGTCCCAAAGAAAATGCAGCGTGTCGGGTGCATGGAGCTCCTCAACACAGTCCAGAGGAGAGTCCAGCCCAAATTACATGTATTTGGACACATTCATGAAGGTACGTACATCTTTCCAACACACAGTACAGGGTCATGTGATACATTTTCATTTGTACAGAAGGTAAATTGTTTGTTTAAATACAGAGAGTTGGTTAGTTGTTGTCATGAGAAATAGAAAATTTGATATTCTGTGAAAATGTATTTGCTTTGAGTTCATACATATTCACAAATACAAAAGTATGCTCTACAGTATAATACTCCAGTTTGACTGTCAGATGCTTTTTTCTGCTATTCTGTTATTTTCTGTTGTATTATTATTATAATTGTTATTGTTAGTTATTGTTATTGTTATCATTATATTAGTGTTTTTCTTCCATTCACCTTGAATTGTATTTCTTTTCTATGTAACAACCAAACAATATTTCATTTTAATATAATTATATTATTTCTTCGGGTAACATTACAACTTTTGTAAATCCAAAGGCTCTGACTGTGAATAAGGTCTCAGTGTTGGCTCAGGTTTGATTTAAAGTTTTTACTACAGCCCTGGTACACACACACACACACACACACACACAAACACAAACACTTGTGATTGATACTGTTTCCTCATGAGCGTGTGTGTTTTTAATTAGAGTACAGTTGAACCATTTTTCCAGGCTGACATCGAAAGGCAGCAGTTTCCACACATGAGTCAAAGCTGAGATGCAGGGACAGCGTCAGGGCTGGGGTCTCAGGGCTGAGGTGAGGGGGACCTGGCTGGTGATCCTGAAGACAAGAGAGACTGCAGGCAAATAAACTAGTTAACAAACAAACAAGGCAGGTTAATTCACTGAATTCACCATCATAGTCTATTATAGTTGTTTTAAACTGAATGAAATCCTCTTAGATTTCAAAGCCATGTAATCTGGAGACATTATACATCAGTTTTTATGAATAAAGGTATTAAAGTGAGTATTAGAGAATAGCTGAGCTTCCATGTCCCTATCAGTATTTCATCCAGGCCAGCGAGGGCAGAGAGGCCATCTCCCAGAACTGAGGACTGCTTTTTTTGGGGTTATCAGGTCAGTGCTGGGCCCCAGGAGCAGCAGCCCCCCATCAGAGAGAACCAGATTAGAAACTAGATCAGATTTTACAAGAGGAGAAATGGGATGAAAGTAGCCGCTCTCTTCATTAATGTGGAGAAGGAAGGTAGAGAGGAAGAAATGATTCTGTATTCTGTGTTTTGTATTCATGTATTCCACATTTGAAAGGACCAACACACATGCACAGTTTTGTTCCAGGAGTGACACCTACACTTAGGAAATCCCTGATAGTTAAACTGTAGTACTTTGTGAAGCAGAAGTTAACTACATCTCATAAAGTGGCAGCACTTTACATCTATGTTGATCCAAAATGCTTTTGAAGCAGAGGGAGTCGTGTTAGTATCTCACTCTGATGCTGTACATGTAGAAAAGAGTTTTCCTCCTCTGCTGATGCTGAGGCTAATTACTGTTGTGTGTTGTGCACGTTTCAACTCTTTGGTTGTCCCCATCAACTACTGCATTACAACTGTTATTCTCCATGTGGTACACAATATGTCTTCTTTGATTGAATCTGGGCATTTGACACATCAGACCTGGTCCAGATCAAAAGCCACCAGACTTAGACTTGTCAAATCTGGACTACATTAACAAGGAGTGTTGAGACTGGTTAAAACACCAATTAAGATTTGTGAAACCCTTATTCCATATGTGAAAAACAAGGTTCACTGGTTTGTTTCCATCTAAACTGCATCAGCCCAGGTCTAGATAAAAAAAAACACAAGAATTAGACCTCTCAGATCTGACTAGAATATCCCAGAGAAGCTAAGAACAATTTGTGAGATCTTCATTCTTTTTATGTAAACAGAAAACAGTGATTTCATTTATTTTACCATATACGTATCACAGTGGACCAGGTCTAGATCAAAGAACATTTCACCTGGACTTATGAAATCGAGATCAGGGTCACTGTTTAAAACACAGATTTGTGAAACCTGTTTTGCAAAAATACATTGAATAGTTTCTCACTATGTCAAGACTTTAACCAGAATGTTGGACACCTTCACAACAATATGTGGTGAAACAAGCTAAGACTTGGTGGCTCAGGATTATAAGTGAAGTTTCCCTTAACCTGCTGTACCACTCATTCTGATTGATCACCTACACCATCATTACTGACCAGAGGAAACCTCTCTGTTCATGATTGACTCTGTGCTCTAATGGATCACAGTGGGTCCATTTTAGTGAGATGTCCTTATATGATTAAAGCAGTAGGCTTGCTAAGTTTTACTATTTGTTTATAGTGATGATAGTTAAAGAGTTAAAGAGTTTAAGCTCTACCAAATATCTCCCACACTTACTTACATAACTGTGGAGCCTATTTAACTAATGTTTCCTCACAGAATTGTTTTATAAGAATAACACATGATTGTGGTTCCAAATATTCAATCAATATTCTCTAATCAGAAGCACAAAATTGTTTCTTCACTGCTTTGTTGTTCCAAACATGGTCTCATCTTCAGGTCTCATAGTGGTGTTCTGCACAAATGTGGCTCCTAGATGACCAGATCATGACACTTATACTGCAGCGCTCTTCTGGTCGACCTCCCTTCATGAGTGAAGCCCTTATAGATGACCTAGAATGCAGCAACCCATCTGGTCTTTGATCAGATGTCACTCCACTGTTCATCGACCTCCACTGTCTACCCATGACCATCTGAATCAGATTCAGTCACTAATGCTGCCTCCAGAGGGACTTCTGGGTCTGCTCCATCTACTTGAATTAAATCATACAGACTTACGCTCCTTCTCAGCCACTGTGTTCCTCCAATGAATGTGGTCTGTCATCACCATCCTGCACACAAGACAGTCTCAGTCCAGACGGTTCTGGTTTGTGGTTCTCTGATGGTGAAACAGGCTACACAACTCTATCAGAGCAGGGGCATCCCTCTCTATCTTCAAGACTCTTTAATGTCTAACTAGAACTTACTACAAACTTTCACTGCACTTCTTTACCCGATCTCCTTCACTTATAGATACTTACACAAAGGTCTTCCACTGCACTGAAGCTGCACTGATGCTATGATTGGTTTTTACTCTTAAATAACAACAATATGGAAAAATAGAAATATCAAAACAGAAGCTGATCATGTCAGAATAAAAATTAGGACATTTACTTTCTCCTGTCCTGAATACAAAACAGTCATCATCAAATGCACAGGTGTGTAGGAGAATAACAAAATAAAGCTGCTGCCTGTTGTTTGGTTTCTTTCGTGCCCAATAAAGGTCAATGACCAAACATTTCTTCCTCAGTAAACTTCTTCTTCTCTCCTGCTGTCACTGCTCCCCAGGTTACGGTATGATGACAGATGGCACCACAACGTTCATCAATGCCTCAGCCTGCACTGTCAACTTCCTGCCCATGAACCCACCCATCGTCTTTGACCTTCCCAACCCCAGGACCACATGACTAGAGGAGGCTGGCACCCTGACGCTTACCGCCAATCAGGAGAAAGGAGGAGCTAGAGGAAGTAGGTGAGGTCAGCAGGCAGAAGGGAAGTGTGTAAATATTAGGCAGGTATGTTTTTAACGTGACATGAACGAGGACTGGAGGACTGCAGGACTGGAGGACTGGAGGCTCACTCAAGTTATTAATGTTATTTAATGTGCCATTGTTTCTTCATCAGTAACTGAAATTAAAAGCAGACGAATGAGCAGTACGTGGACAAATGGCCATGTCTCTGTGTTCTCCTTGACTGCACTGACAACCCCACACCTGTCCACAGGAGAGTGTCAGTCCGACTCAGCACTGGAACATTTGCCAGAGGGATTTTCACTGGAGTTTCCTCCCTTCCTACTTTTAAACATTAATATCCCATCTCTCTCCTCATTTCTTCCCCTCTCTTTCGACTACCCCCTCCCTCTCTTATCTTACTCCTGTTTCTCTCCCGTCCTCAGGCCCACAGCATGCTGGAGTGTGTTTTTTTTTTTTTTTGCCAGCATGTGTGTGTATGTGAGATCAAAGCAAGCGTGTGAGGGCAGCAAGAGGTCTCTGCCACAGGCTGTGTGAGAATCGGGGTGTCAAACATGTTGACACCACTCCCCTGGGCCTCATTACAGCCCTCAGTAAGCCTCTTAACCGGCCAGGGGAGGACACAGAGGAAACCACTCGCAGCACTTCCAGCCTTTTTTTCCTCCTCTCCCTCTTCCTTCCATGTAGCTCCCCATTTGCCTTTTCAACTCTTCCTCATTTTTTCCCTCCTCTCCATCCTTCATGCTGTGAACAACTAGCTCAGCTTTTTAGTCTTGACTGGGAGGTCGGGCTTTTTGAGCTTGGAAAGGATAGCAGGTAACATGCAATGTGAAGGTGCTACATGCTAATGCTACACCTGAACAGTGGCAGTGGTTTCATGGACACACCTCTGTGTTGTTCATGGCTGACATGCAACTTTTTATCCTTTGTCCAGAGGAGCGAAGCTGTACCTAAATGTCTATGTAAATGTTCTTGTCAATGTAAAAAAAAAAAAAAAAAAGTTTTCTTAAACATTTCCAAGTCATTGCTATGCTTTTCAAAAACCTGTGAAGTATTTGTGTCTGGAAACGTGTGGTTATTACATTTCATTTGGTCTATTTCTTAGTAATGTAAATTCTCATTATGGTATTTTCTTCTGTGTGAAGCTGCTCAGGCCCATTTGGTGATTATTAACTCTTTCATGTCCCTAAGCAAAGAAGAGCTTTTCATTTATTTTCCTTTGCTCTATTTTCTGAATAAGGCCGTTTCCAGTCAGAGTCTGAGTGTGCTTAGCATAACACGTCACACTTTGATCTCCCTGCTCTCCGTGATTATGTATGAATGTTCCCCAGAGCTGCAGTTTACTCCCGCTTCACTCGCACTTCTTCTGCACATCAGCCTTCGTTGTGCCAACTGACGTCTTAATGTTTGCAAATGGGCTAAAGAGGACAGAGAAGTTGGTGGGAGGTGTGAGCACTTGTTAGAACAAGCAAGTTGATGCCTGAGTGTATGTATGTGTTATGCTATTCTCATCAGGACCCTGGTTAAAGTTAAGATTATCATTGGGATGATGTTCAGGGTTAGGTCTGTACAGAGAGATACTGGAGTCTAGGGAAACACGAGCAGATACAGAAACTAAATTCACCAGTTAGACAACACACATGTCTGGTGTTTAATTTATATATCAGCAGGTCCTGGAAAATTTGTCTTTCATCAACACCACAGGCGCCTGGGCAATGGAGCAAATGCACCACCATTATTCACTTAGGGGGAGCAACTTTTTGTCTTTATAGAAATAAACCTATCATCAGACAGTCCCTGCAACCAGCTGGTTATATCTGAGCAGCATATATCGAGCATTTTACTATTTAGAGCAACTTACAAAACAAGTAAAAAAAATGTTGGACCATTCTTTGAGTTGGTTCAGTCCAACCTGTTTCCCACAGCATTGGCTGTTAATCAAGTGTGTAAGGAGTCTGTTTACAGACTTGAGAAACATTTAGCTTCTCTGCAATCACTGAAAAGAGAACATCGGAAAAGACAGGCTAACTTATGGTGAATGAAGCTGCTTGGCACCACTGACTACAGCCAAACTTTAAATTAGCTAAACTGCCAAACCAATCTGTGAGTCAGCATAGTTTTAAGCAATGTCCCATTGGTTAATATCTTAATTTAATTGCCAACATGCAGTCATTTTAGTAAATATGTGTCCAAGCTCTTGTGACAGAATCAATAAGTAAAATATGACACCTGCTACCAAACTGTTTGTAGATCTTTACTGCACCAAGCTTATCAGAAGTTTTATATTTTTTATAATTTATTGATATCTCATCTAGTTTTCAAGAACTAACATTCATCCAAATATCATAATTCAGTTTGAGTTTGGGAACAGGTCTACTGAGATGTTTTGAGTCCAACTCAAAGGGGGCACCACAAATACCAAAAATGTTAAAACCAGCAGAGAGAATTTCACCAATTAGGTGAAAATGCTAGTATCAACCTAAAATCTGAAGTGTCATATTGATTAACCAACAACTCCTCCAACCTGAACAACCAACCCTCTGATACGACCCATAGGAGTGTCTCCTGAAAGAGCGCCGCTACTGCGGCAAGCATACCAGACCTCAGTTGTCACGGTTACAATAATAAACACAAGGACTGTACCAACAGCAGTCAGGTTACTATAATTATGGTCATGGCTTGGTTAGGTTTAGGAAGATTGTGGTACTTGCTGAACATTAGACGATTCTCTTTGCTCCTGTCATTATTACTATAACCACTAGATGTCGCCTAGCATAAAACGTAACTATGGGTCACAATGGGCTAATTATTTATAGGATAGGCTCGGATTGATGCAAGTGGGTGGGGCCTATCACATATTTACTCAAGATGCCTTTCATCAATCCTGATTAAACTGACCAGAAACATCCTGTGTTGTCTCTTGAACATACACATCGAGTTTCATTCACATCTGATGAAGTTGAAACATTATTGAATTGCTGCAGACTCTGTGATGATGAAACAAGTGTGTGATTGGTCTCATTTAAACCAGCTGATGTCACTTCGCTCTGATTGGTCAAACCTGAAACCTGCTTGATGAGCTGCTTGGACCCAGAATCACAGCTTGTGGCATACTTTGTATGTTGTATCTGATGAGTGTTGACTGCAGTGTATCTGTATCTGTATCTGCTTGTGTTTTAGCAGCACTGGTTCTATAAACACCATGTTCTTGTGTCGCTCTTTGAGTCAGCGCTGCAGTTCATGGCGATTTTATTGGCACAGGTTCCACTAGTTAACAAACAGATACTGGAACCAGGTGGAAGCATCAATGAAGTCAGTGGTAGGTTTACTGACCATGAGTGGCCAATGTCGTGGTACTTTATTAAATTTGTTGGCTAACAATAAGTATTATGAGACAAACATAGAAAAATACAAAGGACCTGAAACAGTTCACAAAGGTTTTTATTCAGTTGATCAGTGTCACTCAAAAGTGAAAGTATTCAAGTAATAGGTGTGTGTATACAGCATGAACAAATAAAAGCTGGTGGCTAATGAAACTGTGATAAAGGTTAAAAACAGTCATGTCATACGAACTGTCTGTTAAACAGAAATGTACTGTTAACTGGGTTCTTTAATTGCTGTGAAGTTACCATAACATTTCCTCAGATGTTTCACATTAAAAGCATACATGTTAATTATTAAAAAAAAAAGAAAAAAACACTTGCACCATTTCCTTAGTAGCAGGTCCTACTTTATTAACTGGTTTTGGAAGTAATGGTGATGGTTCTTTGTTGAATGCTGGATTATTGCGATCTTCCTTAAAGAACCTGAACTTCAGGAGATTTTAGATCAGATCAGGGTTAGAGGTGATAGTTTGAATCTAGCCAGTGGAAGGTCAGTACAAGCACAATAAAGGGTGTATGAGTCTGAGTGAATGTATTTAATAAAAAATAGAAAAAAAAAGAGTACAAAGACAGGGAGTGTTCAGCCTCATCATTTAAAACACCAACTTAATTAGAGTCCATGAAGAGGAATGTTCCATGAAAGGAATAAAGGGAACTATTAAAAAGCAGAAGATAGGAGGAAGTGTGATGAAAAGCTGTGTGTTTGCTCTGACTCTACACTTCCACTCCTCATTTAAATGTCACTTTGATGCTCTTCTGCTTCAGTAGCTGTGTTCTGTGTTTCCTGTTTTTTTTCCAAGAGAAGAAAATAGTACTGTAAAATTTCTTGATTTATTTTGTGAGGCATGCTTAAAAGAGTTAATGACTTCTGCTACTCAGACAATCTGCATATGAAGAGTTTTATTCCAAAATGAGATACCCGCCTTTTGAAAAGAGGGACGCCTACACGGACAGGATGATTGACAGCTAAGACTTGAAAGCAGATTGCGGTGGTACTTTTTAAAGGACTGTGAGTAACTTGTGTCCTCTGTGACATTTTTTACTTGCTGGATCTTTCATATTTAAACAATACTGGGTAGTTTTGAACCTCAGATCTTTTTTTAATTGGATGTATAGCATTTTGGAATGAAGGTGTTCATATGGTGTTGTATTTTGCCATAGCTGTTGGGGACTTTTCTCTTTTTTTAAACTGTAAAATAGACCCAACAGCTGCAGAATTTTACTGTGTTGCTCCTGGAGACAACTCTAAAATGTAAAGTACCTTTCTTTCTTAAAACCATAAAGATTCTGACAGATTATTCACTGATTGAATAAAACCTTATCTGTGACCCATGGATCATGTTTCGTTATTTCCACCCTAGCTCTTCCCTTTTGTCTCTCCTCTCCATTATTTCTGCTTCTATAATAAAAAAAAGATATTAGAGGTGGTGAGGAAACTTTTCTCATCCTGCTTCTTCCCTTTTGTTCCAATCAAAGGCATCTGTGTCTCGTATCAATTATAGAGCCCAGAGCAGCAAGTTAATTTCCAGTAGCTAAACCCTCACAGCTCCGTCTCTGTCCCCCGTTTTGTTCTGCAGGTCTTCCACACCTCTGCACATTCTAATGAGAACCCTCGTTCAAATAATTACATTAGTAATCCCAGGGGAGACTGGGTAATTTATTCACGGATGGCTTTTTACTTTGCCATTAATAC